AAAAAAAAAAAAAAAAAAAAAAAACGGAGGGAGTATACTAGATGTAGAGAAATTTCGAGTTTGAATTATGGAAAGATGATATTCTTCTATTGGATTCTTACTACCATGTCAAGTGCTTCTTTAACATAAAAAGGTGCACAATCACTGAATCATATACTAATACTTTGAAGAACAAATCAAATCAGATCAAATAATCGATATTACATCTAATTATAGATTAATAAACAAAACAACTGATTTTCCAAACCTCTCATCACTTTTATCTTAAGATTTGAACTTAAGATCTCAAGCTTGGGGTCTCAAGTTTTTATTAGTTGAAGCATTCCCTTAACAACAAATTAAAGGGAAGTTTTAACGAAAATTATCTATTTACAATGTTTAGTGTCATTATAAGTTTAAAATCCAAACATATCATTATATAATTGGCTTTTTTTATTCAAATAATCACTTGTAATATTATATATATTAACTTATTTAATGACATATAAAAATTGTAAACTTACAATCCTACTCTCATTGTCTTATAATAATTGTTATTTTTTTACTTTTTCTCTAAATTAAAGATTTGGAGACCATTTATATATTTATCTATATTATCTTTATTCTATGTTTGGATTGAGAGGAATGGAGAATTCCATCTCGTTCCCTCCATTTCTCTTATTGGATAAATAACTAAATTAAAAGAAAAATAAATAAAAGAAAGTTCTCTCATACCCTCCACTCTAATTTTCTTATAACCATATAGAGAATTTTTTTCCCCCTCCCCTCCCCACAATCTAAACATTCTATTAAGAAAAAAATCAAAAGATAAAGTAAAACTTTTTGTGATAGGATAATTAATCAAAACAAATAGATAACGAGAGTTAAATAGGGAAAAATATTTATCTATTTTAAAAAATAAAAAAATGATAATTAATTTGAAATAAAGTCAAAGTTAAAAGAACAACAAATTAAAAGTAAACAAACAATAATTATTTTAAAATATAGAAAGTATGTAACATTATAACTACATCATTACTGAATCTTTAAGTTTATATATGTGCTGAATATGGAGTGAAATGACAAAAATAACCTTATCAATATAATACTATTACAATTTAGACAATGAGTAGAATAGGAGTACTTGAATTTAAAAAAAAAAAAAAAATGGTGGTGGTGGCTCCCCAAACTGCGAGAGGTGTTTTTGTCCACCAATCCGCCAAAACCGAGGACCAGAAAAAGAGAATGGGGACTATGTGTAATGTGAGTGAGGGAGGGAAGCCTAAAGGAATCGGGAACTGTGTACGATTTTCCTTCCGGACTCGAAGACAAGGAATAAAGTGCTCTTCTCTTTTATATTTTACAACGAAACTTGAATGCACCTTGTATCTTTGCATGGGGATTAAGAACTTCCCCATTCTCTCTCTTCATTATTTCATAAAGTAGGGATCTTTTGGAGGACCATCCATCTCTTTCATCCATATACACCAAGGGAAAAATCAAACAACTGCCACAGTCGTCCTACGCCTTTGTTTGGTGGAATTATCATGGGGTTTTTGGTTTCTCTCTTACGTGTCATATGCATCTAGAACCAAAAAAATATGGTGTGTCCCAGCCATGCCTCGTCGGATCATTTCAGAACAAAGACTGATGAACTTGTTATAAAATGGAAAGGTTCCTGGATTCATGACAAGGCATAATGTAAATGCTGACAATAACATTCAATATATGCCACTTTGGAGAGCCATTACCATAGAATTCGACAGATTTTGACTACATTTGAAATTGTAATTTTTTTTTTTTTTATAAATTTTGTTATTAGAAAAGAAAAATTAAAACATTTTGAGATTATATATGTTGAGACAACTAATCAAAATCATTAAATATATGAGGTATGATATGAATTGCAACTGCTCACATATAGTTGGACGTAACTATTATTAAACATCTTGATATTTTTAGTGTTAAGATGTCTTGATTTTCAATTTTTCCTTTTGTTATTTTACAAACCATGTTGGTAGAATAGGTAACATATCAGCAATATCAAATAATATTCTTACCAACACAAATCCTAAATCAACTAATTTGAATATTAAAATACTGAAATGCAATTGCAATGACCACATTTTGGAGTGTACATGTAGATCCAAGGATAAAAGAAAATTTTGCACGATGACAAAATGACTATTGCCTCTTCTTATCCGGGCATGAGCTTGTGATATTGGTGGCGTATGTCGGATTACTGGATTTATTCCTCAGCGTGACATTGCATAGAAAGCAGAGCTATACACCAGCTGATCCCCTTGTATCTGGGACTCCTCAAATACTAAACTACTTAATCAAAACATATTTTCCTTAACACAACAAACGAGAGATCTTCCTTTCAAGCTTTAAACCCTCAATCATCTTTGCTTTTTTACGAGTTTTATGCAAAATATCAATGTTTACGCGTTACGGGTAATGCTTTGAGTCTAAGTGTCTACTTGAAAGAGCAGAAATATAAAGGAAAGGAACATAAAAGAATCAAACCCACATGTTTCTAAAGAAACAAAATTAATTAAAAATGATCTAACAATCAGCTTTCAAATCAAGAAGAAAAGAATGAGCTAACGATGTTCACGGATGAAACAATAATCAGATTCATGAGAAAACTGTTAAAACTTCAGGGTCACGGGTGATATAGAAAAGGCTGATGAAATCTCTCCTTTGGTATACCTATGAAGAAGAACAAGAACGAACAGTCTATCTACATATATAGCTAATAATCAAACAACCAGAAGAATGTTCTTGTTGGAAGCACGAGGAGGAATATTAGCATTTCAATTGAGTTGACATGAAGTGACATGAGAAAAATGTCTGAATCAAACCATGTTATGTAAAAATGTATAAACTTTGTTGCCTTAATTAATATGTTGCTTCCTTGCAAATTGAAGTCTTTTTTCATGCTAGTTTCAGGCTACCATTCACAGACTCAGCAGAACTTATCCAAATATTTCAGATGTTGTTGAGAAGTTGAGATCTTAATTAAGAGGCTCCAAGTTCAAATTCTAAATCGGTTATGTAAAAGTAAATCATTGCATATCCAAATAAAATGAAAAATGAAAAATAAAAAGAGTGTTACATAACAATCATAGGACCCTAACGAATAATGCTTACACTAGAACAAATAATACAAAACTTCAAGCTGTTTATTCTTTTCTCTGTGTGATCAGCATTTTGAGTCCCCAGTCAAAAAGGCTCTATCTTTGTTGGCCTAAAAAGACATACAAAGAGGGCACTCAAATAATTTGAATGCAAAGCATTTTCCAAATGCTAGAAAAGGAGAGTTTGAATGTAAGAGAAGAATATAGGCAGTTGCTTGGGACACACAACCCTAGCAATCACAGCAACGGTTAGCTTTTTCGCATAAATAAGCATAACTGTAACAAATGCCAAAAACAATTGCTTAATTACTAAATTTTTGTTTGGATACTAAAAAGAAAAGAGGGGTCTCAAAGTGAAAGTTAGTCCGGGATAGCTTTTCCCTTATTTCACTATCAAATCTCCCTTAATCGTTAAGGGGAAACACATTAGCAGCATAAGATATCTTTTATTTGTTGTTTTTTTTTTTTTTCTTTCTCCTCTTTTTGTTAAAGTAAAGCACTCTCTCATAAAGCAATATTAAAAGTAAAATATGGCATTATCTACTCAAAAGGGCCGCTCATTTTATGCTTTTGAGCTTCAAATAAGCATCTTTTGTGGAATAGGTGGCCATGTGGGAGAAAGCAATATCCAAGGTGAGGGAAGGGAACAAACACTCTAGACTTTATAAAGGTTACATGGAGAAAAAGTTGCCCTAATTTTGACATGACAGCCTTGTTAATGTAAAGGTGGTGGAATTACGTACCAGACTCCTTTTCTAAAAAGTTTGCATTATTTTAAGATCAATTAGTAACTATAAGAAATGCAGTAAGTTAATGGACTTACATCTCATCATCAACCTTGAAAAGCAGCTTCCTGGTAAATGTAAATGCTTTTCATTTTTAGCTCAGATCCACTGCACTGAAGCACATAAAGTGAAGGAACTCGTGCTGTTCTTTGTGTTTTGCAATTTGCACGCTTGTGCACTTGTACCTGAGGAAATTATGAAGGTATCATTAGGCCACTGCATTCTGTTTAAGAATGCAAATTTAAGTAGAATTTATCCAAAACTTTGAACTAGAATCTCAGTTTCAAAATGACTACTAGGAAGAACACGAGAATGAAAATTCAAGAGTTTCACATCAATATAAATATAAACTACATTCAAAATCAAAGATGTTAATACACTCCCAAGAAATTTACTCTCATCTTTTATTAAGTTGACAATAAATCCAAATAAATATTAATGAATGCAAGGGAAATAATCCTTCTTACAGAATGCATGTGTGAGCAAGAAAAAGGCAAATCACATGGAAGAGAAGAGACACAGAAGCTACACATCCAAAGAACAAATACAAAGCAGCTACTGTGAAATAGTAGCCCACAAATACCTAATATAACCAACTTACATATAAAAGTACAAATATAAAAGAAAAACACTTATAGACATATAAAATGAAATCATCCTAATACATTACATTTGTCCATGTTCATTAACAACATATATATTGTAATTAAATTTTTATTTTTACAGGCAGATAAGAAAAAGAATGATGCTGATACAACAAACATAGAACATTAACAACCTACACTTTGGCAAAATTGTTTGTCATATATATGTAATTGTACAAAATCCCTTATTAACTAAAATGGGAGGAGAAGAAGAAACCTTTCAGTTAATTAGCTAATCTAGAACTGGAACAGACTTCAGTTGTCTTGGCTATCCAACATATTTGCCAGATAGTCATCCTCAAGCAGACAATCAAGTATGCTATCAACAAATGACTTTTGCTTACAAATTTCTTCATGAATCAATAAGAGAGCTTCTCAGAAGCCCTTTCACTAGGAATACCAAGTGTCCATCTCACATCAACAGCAGGAACAGATGCCTTCGATTGGTGGCCTCTACCTTCAGTGAATTTTGGATAAAATTCTCTTATCCAAAGATGCAACCATGTTGGATGACCATTGTCTATCTTAGGCTGTTTCAGTAAGGGGAGAAATATAGTACAGAATGACAGTAAATATCATGTAAAGAGAATAAGTTATATGGAGCTTGAAATGTCAAAGATAAGCCAAAAAGGCCAAGCATAAGCCAAACGTGAAGCAACTAAAAATATTTACATGTATGTTGAAATAATAGAGAATCATGCCTACAAGCAATGGTAGGTTAGATTAACGAAACTATTTTTTTAAAAGTTTTTAGAGCTAGGATTTTAGGGTTCTAATGGGGCAAGAAATGGTTTTCTGTGTGGTTGCATAAAGAAAAGGAAAGTTTATGGTGTTAATCCTGTACAAAAATCAGTGCGTCAAAGAGAGAATAAAGATAGAAAGAATGGGATTAGAAGCAAAAAGGGATCTAGCCATCAACAACACTGGAAAATCTCCAAATATCCCAATATTATCATAGAAATAATTCTAATAGCTTTACATGCAGAGTAACATTTTACTAATACTACATTTCATAAGATGAAGTTCTCTTAATTTTAATTTTAGTAATAATATCAAGATAAAATTCCCATCCTTTACAGGGGAGTTCTTCCTGAGGACATTCAGAACAAGAGAAATTGCCAGAATAGGAAAACTAGTGATAAAAAAAATGATTAATAGCCTTAGTTATCATTCATTTTAAAAAAGGAGCCATGGGAAATGTGGGCACAATAGAGGGTGGCCGTTTTCTCCAGCTACCCGTACAAGACATCCAGGATAGGCTCATATCATGAATGCCCTCCAAATTAAAGTACCTCAGAACCGCAAGATCAACATCAAAACATCCTGGCAAGCTTGACTTTTCATATTCATATCAAAATTTCATCAAAAAATAAAAAATAGAAACCCTACTTCTAGCAATGTCTGGATTTACACTCAACCCAGCCAGAGGAGCAATGGCAATTGCAACTCCTCACTGATCCATAATGGATATTTCTCTGCAAGAATCAACTTGCCAGAGATACCCATTGCCACTAGCGCAGGTAAACATCCTGATTCCAGCATTAGAAAAAGCAATTCTGCAAGGAATTTCAGATCCTGCAGAAGTTCATTAAGTGGATAATGAGAAATGTGCAATTTTGGATGATGTTCAGAAAGCTGACTGATCATTCACCTAAAGGAACCTCTGACCCAAACCTTGCAGATGAAATATATGTAGCAGAAGTTTTTTCAGAATCCATGTTAGGGTAATTTCATGAGTTTAGAATGCATTTTTCAATTAAATCTCCCAAGTAAAGAAATGCCTTGAGCTGAAGATGGAGAACAAAAACCTGCACATATTATAAATGATAAGGCCTTTTATTGGAAAGACAATGACAGTGAATGGGTGTCTGTTAAATAAAACAGCAGGTTTAACGTCAAATGAGATAACTAAAGAAATCCAAATGAATGAGCCAAGACCAAACTCAAAAAGATAAAAAGAACCTTCAAGTTCAACAATTTCAGAGTCAAATTAGACAATGAATGTATGGAATATGTGAAAGAATAAAGTTTCTATCATAAAATGGACACAGCTGCACCTATCATGGTATATTGCAATAAGAACAGAGGAGCCAATATACGACATTCCAGGGAAAGTACCAATGCTGAAACATCAAGACAAGTGAAACTGAAAGTGAATCATGAAATCATCTCCAATTGTAATCAGTACATAAAAGATGTGAACAAAAAAAAAAAAAAAAAAACAGTTTAAATGGCAATTAAATTTCTGAATTTCTATTAATGTTGTCATTCAAGAGAAGTAGGTTAAATCTACAACATGTGCACTGAAGGAAACTGCAATGTTAACAAACCTTTTCAAACTCTTCTGCAAGAAAATAGATGTATGTTGAATCACTCAAAATGCATACTAAAACTATTAAACTAAGCAAATAAACAACAATGCAATAGAGTTAAACAAAAATTCTTTAAAATATAAGATCGAGCACAGCTCAAAAACAGAACACTTGAACAAAACAAACAAATTATACCTTGTAGTGAGGCAGGATATGATGATAATCATGGCACAAGCATCCTGGGCAGCCGGCGAGCTACCTGAAGATAATGTTAGCCATCAATGGCCATATTTGTTCATACCTTGGCCAAATTTAAACCAAATGTAAGTTAAACAAGCAGTGATTGTCCACTAATTCATACCTTAGCCATCAATCGCCATGTCTGTTCTATACCTTCCCTTTTCCCCCTTCCTTTCATGAAAGAATGCAGAAAGAAGCAAGGTAATACAGTCCCCACGGTGAGTAAAAACCAAAAAATCACGTTAGAGAAAAGCAGAAGAAGATCAAAAGGAAGACGGGAAAAACGAAGGAAGAAGAAAGACCAAACCCAAAATCATCTCCGAACGGCGGCTCTCCAGAGCAAAATCCGGTCAAAAGTGAGCCAACCCAAAAGGTCAATTTGGGAAATTCAGGTGTGAAATGTCAAAAAAATTCCTACTCAACGTAAGCAATGTTAAGGGGCACTTTAGGGAATTCAGTGATTAAAATCACCGAATTACCATTAAGTTTCGTGGTTTAATAACTATATATATATGTATTTTTCAAGGTATACTTTTAATTCTCACCTATAAAATTGGAGTTCAAACCCCTCTCTCCAAATAATAATTTGTTTGAAAAGAAATTATAGATACTTACAATGTTAACATTTTGTTATATTTAGTGATTAAAGTTATATAATTTAAAATAATTTTTTAATAACTAAAAGCACTTTCTTCAACACTTACATCTAGAAGATTGTAGTGGAGATCATGACAATCAACGAAGGATTGAGGATGACATTTTAGAAAACTTAAACTCAGAATTGTTATCAAGTTTGATGGAAGAAACTCAAAATACTAGACAAGATGGGTGGGCAAAGTTCCATGGATGTAAGGAGGAGAGAGGAATTTTCTATGATCCTCTAGCTAGGAATAGTGAGATTCAAGATCTGATACATGAAAATGCATTCGTTTCTTCAAAACAATAATTGATGCCATTAATGCTATCCTGGCGATCGCCGATGAACTCAAGACATACCCCAAAACGTGCTCTTATGGGGTCTTCATCCATTTGAGTTATTGACGTGTTCATGGATCACTTCCAATAGCCCATACCCCACTTAAAATTGCAGCCCACATGATAGATATAGTACTAGCACAGAATTAGCAGCCCACTTAGACCCGACAGACTTTTAGTAGTGTATGGTAATGTCGGATGGGTAGACAGATGTCAAGAACAAAGAACCAAAAGAGTGCTGGCTCTAGTGCTCACTCACCATGTGCGTTAGTTATCCTTTGTTTTTCTTCACATTTAATCATTGCTTCCAAATTCCAATTCACCCCCCCCCCTCTTCTTACTGTTGCTTTTCCTTTGATTTTTCTTCTGGTTGGTGCATAGATTTTGTTTCCTCAACTACTTTTTCATAAGTTATATATGCTCCACTTTAGATTCAAACCCAATCATTATACTTTCCCCTTGATTTTCTCCTTCGAATCAAACCTTTATGTAAGTTTCTTCTAGCTTTGCGTACGAATTCAGATGGTAAATTTTTCAAACTCATATCATTCCTAACTATGCTTTTTGAGACATTAAGCTGGAGCTCTATGCTACCCTTCTAATTTGCCGTAACTTAATTACATACTCGATTTGAAAATAGAAAGACTGGAATTTTAGATTTTTTATTAAAAAAAACATTATTTATATTTACCAAACTCTAACTGCTATTAAAAAAAAAGGTAACGTAAAAGCAAAAGAAAATTATTATGTCTACATAAAATACATCAAAACATGGAAAAAGAAAAATTAATATTCTTAACATTAAACCACATTATGAATGTGACAACTTAGACCTATACTCTATTTCGCATATGGCTGCACTTATTTTTCCTTTTCTCACTAAATGTTACATGTACTATATTGAAAATTTTATTTATTGTTTAAGACAACAATATTCGTAGAAAAAAATTGAGAAATGGGTGGACTTAAGAACAGTGGCTGAGAAATGGATGGCTGCAATCCCACTGGCCCATTTTCATGCAGCTGGACTGGTCTGCCCCATTTCCTTTAAAGGAAAATGATTGGTATGGATTCAAGTATTTAATATATTTTTAGACAATTATTTTAATTTAGTTATTAAAATATAATATAAATATAATTAGTTCTTATATCTTATATATATAGTTTTATTTTTAAATTTATTTATTTTTAATTTTAAAT